TACTAGGTATTATTTTCACTTTGACACATAGGCATTTAGTCTTCCTTGAAAACTTACACAAAGGGAACAAAATAAATGATCTAGATAAAGAACAATTGTGGAACTGAGTGCACACAGGTGATTTTTAATGATTCAAACTTCTCAAAGTAGATAACATCTATATGTCGAGTGGATTATGAATATTCTGATGACTTTTAAAATGTATTAAGGGTAATGTTAATTTTTAAACCACATTGTTTCTATACCTATAATTAAGTTAAGATCCAAAAGCTGGTCTCATATCCCAGCAGAGAAAGAAATCTGCTGACATTTAAGTTGAAAATGATTAGAAACACTATGTACAATTTGTATTCAATAATTATTAAATTCCACAGTATTCAAATGACAAAATAGCAAAGTCTCACTCTATTTTAAAAGAGTGATATAAGAATCTTTCCAAGAATATACCACTTTATTTCGCCATGCTGCTTTCTTCAAGCCCGACAATGGTAATCATCATAGGTTAGATAAAATCTTCAAAGAACTCTAGTCTGACACACTAAAGAGGAACACAAGTAGGAAAATATGGCCTAAATACAAGGAGGAAAATCCTATTACTTTTATACTTCAGAATATTCTAGCATTTTTATCCCATAATTATAAACTACCAACAAAACTACAAGTTACAAACATTTATTATTGCTTTCTTTTTCAAGGCAGCCACTGAAACGATGAATAGATGAGAAATTGGAAATTATCTACCTTTCACAGTAATAACAGGAGAAGAAAAACTTTCTACAAAATCCAGTACTTTGCTTCTTCCCCTGCTAAAGGGCTAACAAGAGATACAAAGACACCATTGTAGGTCAGTATGGGTGGCTCCTCTAGCCCTCCTACCCACGAAGGTATGCCATCCTCAAATTTAGGAGGCAGAAATAAACTTCATGACCTTTATTGTTTCACATATAAGTGTGGAAATATTTCTTAACATAAAGCCAAATTTTATATATAAACAAAGCAAATACTAATTCCTCTGACTTTGCTGAGTCATTCACTTAGCACAATACTAGGCCTATAGAATGGACTTAAGACAAAATTATTGATTCACAAGTAAGAATATACATAAGAATATGACCTAGAAAAATGTGGAGCTTAATAAACAATAAACTTTAGAGATCATCCTAGTGATCTAATTTTCTTAATAGAACCTTCATTTATGTCTTTGAGAAGCGTATGGAGTCAGAAGTTCAGCAGCACATTTCATTGTTGTTATCATAACTTAAACTTAACATCCAAAGGGGAGTCAAATCAGTTATCTCAACTGCTGCCCTTGGTTTGCGTGATCAAGTTGGCAAAGCAGAAATCATCAGTGGCTGGCTTATGTGGTTATGTCCACCCCATTTCCCTCCTACCAATCCCCTTTCTGGGAGATTAAACGGATCTCATCTCTGATCCTAGTTCAATTTAACACAAAAGTATGTTAGAGAACGCCTAAGGTACACTTAAACAATTAAGCAAACAACTGTTCATTTTGTTTTTTTTGTTTTTGTTTTTGTTTTTTGGTGCGTGGGGGGTTCGAGATAGGGTCTTGCTCTGTCACCCAGGCTGGAGTGCAGTGGCACAACCATAGCTCGCTGCAGCCTCAACATCCCAGGTTCAAGCAATCTTCCTGCCCCAGTCTCACTCTCTCGAGTAGCTGGGACTACAGGTTTGCGGCATCATGCCTAGTTAATTTTTAAATTTTTTGTAGAGACTGGGTCTCACTATGTTGCTCAGTCTGGTCTCGAGCTCCTGGACTCAGGTGATCCTCCTTAGGCAAAAAACTTTTTAAACTCTTTGCAGATAAAGGATGCTGCGTGTAATATTGTTGCTGATCATTTTGCTTTTTATCAATATTTTGTAATACTTGAATTTTTTATAATTAAAGCAATGAAATTTAAAGCCATGACTTTTGGTTCTAATATTTATATGTTATTTCCACATGATTACTTTTATGTGAACTTTGTATCTTTAAAAACACCATGAATAAAATATTAAAGAAAGTTCTGATTAATAAGACCTTAAGGATAAGGTTTTTGAGGGATTTCACATCGAAGATGTTAAAGGAAAAGACTCTTCTCTAAAATGAGCTAGGAATAAATTCAAGTTGAAGATAAGATAAATTCAATGATTCTTCATGAAGACAAAATAAATCTTCAAGAATCAGTTTACTATATCACTGAGTGTAAGATATTCAGTAAAAGTGAAAAGCATTTCTAAGTGGAGTAAGAATTAGTAAATTAGACTTTTTAAACAATAGTTTGTTTTTCAGCATCTCTACTTCCAAGTATAAAGAAAACAAATAAACAAACTGCAAACTAAAGCCTTCAACTAATTTTCCCTGGCACCAATAACTCCAGAAGTATTTGCAGTTTTTTTCTTACAGATCCAAGTCAAGAATAAAGACATAGAAACACAAATACTAACATACGTTGCATTAAACTGGTCTAATTAGGAATTAGACGACAGCTTTCATTGGTTTCCCATTGCCTACTCATCCCATACATGTGGATATAAACAATAATGTTTCCTTAAGTCTATTTACTGGGCTCATGATTTTAAAAAATTACATTAATTTGCACATTCATGAGAAAAAAATACACTTTTGAAAAAAATTCACTGAAGAAAAATATTAAAATAAGGTGTTTATTTATAATATTTCAAGTGTTAAAGTACTGTGTGAGCCACTTGGACACGCTCACGCAGAAGGCTGTTCAGTAAAAATCGCTTCTATTTGAGATGGAGGGGAATTCTAGAAGCTATAGCTACTTGCACTAAGCATATTGAAGCAATTTTGCCTTACGGTGACAAGAAACTTCAGAAGTAAGCTGGGTTCACAGGTGAAGACCGTGGTGTGCACTTAAAAGAAGTAGCCTGTTCCAGCCAGGAGGCAGAGTATCAGCATCTATTGGGCATCATGTTTTTATTCCAATGATGTGAAGATCCCAAGGAAAGCTAACTACAGAGATCTAGAATGGTAGTGACAAGTAGGAATGCTGCTGAGAACCAATTCCAAGAAGAAAGGTCAAGGTAATGTGCAGAGGGAAAAAATATTATTGGCTACAAGTGGCCCTGAGAATCAAAAATAACCATAATAATTTAGTTGCTTTATTTTGTGTTTGTAGGCAAAGAAAATCTAAATTAATAAGAACACTGCTCTTAAGCCTTTTACCCAGAATATGATACCTTCGGATTGCTTGACTTGTTTCAGTCAATTTGCTTTCCTCAGCATTTCTAATACAGTCAAGCATGAATGTAACTGAACCACTACATATGAACATAAGAGCTCCTGTTTCCAGATAGTCAGGAAATCCATTGGTCTTGCCAACCCCAGAGAGTTGCAGATGAGGAAATTGAGGTCCTAAGTAGTTATATGAGTTGAATATATTTAAAACTAACAGATTATGAATTCAAGGCATGAAACATTAATATATTATTATTATTCTATACATGTTATGCCAAATATAAAATATGCATAATGCCATATAGGACATAGAAATCATATAGTAGTGAAAACACATAAATGCACATAAGTGTATCCAATGTATAAAGATATTTCCTGTAGATTATAACAGAAAGCAAATGTTCACACAGGTGATTTTCCCACTTGATAACAGATCAATTCCATTCATCAAAAGTATATTTAATTCCTTTCTATTTAAGCATAAATTAAGACCCTTCTAAACATTTATAGGCTCTTGGTGTTGAAAAGAATCTCAAAAATCAAAAATCATCCAACCTCTCTTCATATGTGACGCATGAGTTTGGAAAGTAGCAACAATGCTCTATGGCTATTTATTATTATTTTATTCCCTGGACCAGTAAGGGATTGTCACATAAAAATAAGAACCACTTACATAAGAGAATCTCCAATGGTTTCCCTATTAAGAAACCATTCTATAAAATGAGTCCATTTTCTGAGAGACATTCCCAGCCTAAGGTTTCACTGGATCCAGGCGGCAGTGAGATCAGGACCAATAAGAGTCTCCATTTGCTTCCCAACCCACCAGACCCCAAGTATACATTGTCAAGACTATGCTTTATTCACTTTGTGTTCAGTCACCACTAGAATAACCTCCTTTACCCTCCCCGACTCAGTCCACTACTGTCTATGCCTGGCACTTAGAGGGGTGGTAGGTGGATGGATGGATGCGTGGATGGATGGATGGATGGATGGATGGATGGATGGATGGATAGATGGATGAGTGAATAAGTACGTAGAAACTTTCCTCTTTTGTTCCACTATAATTCATATTTCATTCAAATACCCTGATAAAGTCTTAATCTCTTCTTCTAAGGAGATGTTGTCATTTTTCCTATCAAAACTTAGTAAATGTCTGTAGCTGGCCAGTTTCTAATCATAATAAAAACAAAAAGATATCATCATTTGGGTAGCATATCTCAGGACCTGGGAATTTTTTTTTAAAAAGTCTATATCATGATTTAACTGAGAACATTAGTATCTTCTAAGTGTTATCTTCTACGTTAGCACTGTGTATTCCCATCAGAATGAAAGGGATTAGGATGAGAGCTAGGGCTAGAGTTGATATATATAACCCTGGAATGTTTCAAAAGTTTTTTTAAAAAAAGGATCTGAAGTTTAGATTTGAGAGCATCATTAAGGGAAGTCCTATAATATACCTTCAAACAAAATGCAATTTTGTTGTTAAAGTGAGGCACGAGTTATTTCACAGCCAAAAAGAAGGTAGAGTATTAAACACATCATTTGTTTAATGTTGAAAATACACCCTGGGACTGTGGGTGTACATACTGTAATTGAAGTCATCTCAACAACAATTACCCGCCAGTTTCACTCTCACTCAGTGGGGGAGGTGTGTTTCAATTAGTGGTTTCTTGCCAGTACTTCCTCATACTTTCCTCATACTCTTTGGGCATTAGGGGGTTGTAGAGAAGTAGAAAGGAAAACTCATTACCCAGCCCTCAGACAGTTCAGAAATTAAATAGAAGTTTGTACTACTCACGGCTCTGCCTGTAGGCTTCTGTCCTCAGCCACGTAGTTAGAAGGAATATAGCCCTGTAGTTGCTGACTGGAGCCATCTCGCCTTTTCTCCAAGTGTCTGGCAAACCACCAGCCCTCATGTGAAGTGTCCAGAACTTGAAGTTTGTCACCTGCCCGGAAGCTCAGATCCTCAGCAGTCCGAGCCTGGTAATCAAACAAAGCCACAAAGTAGTGGCCATGCCTCTGTGACTGGGGAGAGCAATGGGCCCCTGGATTTTCAATCACCGTTGACTTGTCTGCTTCCGTCGACAAGCAGGGGAGATAGGGTTCTAGATACTCCCAGAGCCTCTGACAGATGTTGCTCATTGTGCCTTGGTGGGGAGAAGAGGAGCAGGGCTTCTCCCTCTCCCCTTAGTCTCTGTGATCCACCTTCTCTTCCTTCACCAGGCACCTTTGAAGTCAGCACCAACTCACCATACTTTGGAGAGTATGCAAAGTCCCATTTCAAATCAGTCCAGCAGCTGGTTGCAGCAAGTCCTACCTGGAGAGACTTACCGGCTTGCTTTCTGTGGCCGGAGCTGCTACCCCCAAGCAAAACGGAGCAGGAGCTGGGCAGCTGCTCAGTAGGAAGGTATCTTTTCTTCGTATCTGCTTAAGAATCGCACAACAAAAATAAAATGAAATTAAAAGGGCTTTATTTAGACAAATATCTGAGAACAGAATGGTGCCATCTTGCCTTTTGTCCCAATCAAAAGTTAGCAAGAGGAAGCTACTAACCCCTGGCAAAACCTACACACCTTGCTTTCGCCAGGAGCTCTCCCCCTGTTTCAAGTCTGCTCCTGTCTTTGGACCAGTCCGGATCTGGACGGCTCTCTCCTTTTTGCTAATGAATAACCAACCAGCAGAGGTTGTTGCCTTTAACATTCTGAGCTATGAACAGACTGTAATAATTTCCCCTTACTTCCTGGTTTCTTTCTGTGATCTAAATGGGATTCTGACTTCTTTACCCCTCCCATCTCCCACACCCAAGATAGACCAGATCCTTTACCAAACTGTTAAAGCAGCCACTAAAATCTATATTCCTTTTGTTTCATCCTGGAGAAACAGGCTAGCCCAGGTAGCTTTTTGTCTCGCTATGTTCCCAACACGGACATTCACGGCAGAGATATTTTTTCCCCCACAAACAGGAGTAGAATTGTTTTGCCACCACTAGGGGAAATTTAAAACGGCAAATTATTTAGGTATTTCTTGTTAGACACAGAGCAATTGGAAAAGAACCATCAAGTCACTCCCTTTTCTCATTACCAAGAATAGATTTTAAGAGCTTCAAAGAATAGTCACAGTCTGGAAAAGTAAGAAAGCAGCTGACTAAAATGCTGAGAACCCAAAACGTTGCTTTTTCCCACAGACATTTAATTTCCTATCCTTCAAGTACCATTTTGGAAACACACACACACACACACACACACACACCCCCACACCAACTAGGTGACCAGTAGAGAAAAAAAGAGGAGGGCAGAGTGCTCTTTGTGCACTGCTGTGGGGGCTCTTTCTGCTAAACTTTGACCTCCAGATCTATACTAGTTCTTGCTAATTTCCTTGGCAAGAACTCAGGAACTAATGAGACTGACATCAGGACAGCCATCTCTAGACAGGCAGTGGGTTTTGCTTGACCTTCCCTAGTTCAGGGCAGCTGTCTCGCAAATATGTGCCCTGGATCACAAAAACAGCTGGGCAATGAGTCTGGCAGTCATTTATACTAGTAGACAGCATTGCAAACTTGTTTATGATGTCACTGATTTCCCTATAAGACTTTTTTTTTAATTTCTTCCTTAAAAACAATCTTTCTAAATGTTGTGAGATCCTTGAACCTGGCTAACCTATTCCTAGTACGAGCTCATAACTTCTGTTCTTTGTCAAATTGCAAGGCATTTAGTAATCAGAATAATCAAACTCAAGAAAAATAAAGAAAGAAAGAAAATCAGAGAACCATGGCATCAGCCCAACCTGCTACTACTTTGTGCAAAAATCAGTCCATAGCACTGGACAGATCAATTGGTAAAAATAAAATCTTGTGTTATGCTCCCAAGTTTCTCCAATCGTCTTTGGAGTCAGAGTACAAATAACAAGTTGACAGAAGTAGAAAAGCCAAAAGCTGAGCCAAGTTTTTGTTGTTGCTGTTGTTGTTTTGTTTTTTAATGAGATGAGACCTAAAATAGAATGTATATGTAATTTTATATTATATACAAAACAGAAAATATATAATATCAAATGACCATAAAGGACATTTTGTTCCAAATACAATAATGGATGTAAAAGCATAGGATTTTATTAGTGCCCCTGACAGAGGCACACATGCTGAAGTCTTTCCTGAGACATCTACATGATCTAAAAATGAAAAAAAAAAAAAAAAAAAAGATTTAGAAGCAACCTGAGAGATGTATTGAAACCCAATTTGTAAGTGAGGTTTTAGATTTTTGAATTGTGGAGGTTCTAAATTCAGACATGTCTTTGCTATAGTTATGACAAGGCATTCTGGAAAAAGACAAAGCAGCAGACCTGCACACCACAGTCATTGAGCAAGTGAGTGAAATTCAAAAAGCGGCCAACCATCCAAAGATGTCAGGTGAGCAATGGCCTGAGAACGCAGAGCCAAGGGGTGGAAAGAGAGAGGATTTCTTTGTGTTGATAGTACCAGAATCCTCCAGTCACCCAATCTCAAAGTCTTGCAGTCATCTTTTATTTGCTCCCTGGTTTCTTTGAGCTAATCAATCACTGAATTCTGCTCAGTCTTCCTTTTCATTTATTCCACAAACTTTTTTTTAAGCTCCTTCTGAGTGACAGCTGGGCACCAGACAGAAAACAGAATATTCTTTCCTAAATTATTCCAGAGGCCTCCTAACTGATCTCCCTTCCTCCAGCTTATTCCCGTCTCTGGCTGTTCCTGCACACCAAGATGAGTGGTGTTCATAATAGTTTATTGAGCAGTTTTTATAACAGTAACAATGACTGCGGTGATAAGACATTCCTAGTCATTACTGGTAAAAGTAAATATCTGTTTGGTAAGCTTTCTATGTGCCAGACACTGTACTAAGAATGTTAGAAATAAGATCCAGGAATTCTACTCCAGGGTATGTATCCAAAAGATTTGAAATCAGGAAGCCTGAGAGATATTGAACTCCTATGTTTATTGCAGCACTATTCACAATAGTCAAGTTATGGAATCAATCTAAGTGTTCATCAATTGATGAATGGACAAGAAAATATGGTATATATACACATTGGAATTCTATTCAGCCTCAAAGATGAAGGAGAAGAAGGAAATCTTGTCATATGTGACAACATGAATGAATGTGAAGGACTTTGTGCTAATGAAATAAACCAGACATGGAGGCAAATACTGCATGTTCTGACTTATATGTGGAAGCTAAAAAAATTCAACACATAGAAGCAGAGAGCAGAATGATGGTTACCAGAAGCTGGGGAATCAAGGGAATGGGGAGATGTTGGTTGAGGGCTACAATGTTTCAGTTAGACAGGAGGAATAAATGATAAGTATTCCATTCGAGACTATGGATATGTTAATTAGCTTGATTCAATCATTCTACATTGTATACATGTATCACAGCATTACTTTGTACTCCATAAAATATACAGTAATAATTTGTCAATATCAGGTAAAAATAAGAGAATGTTACAAATAATATATCATTTAATTCTCACCAAATAAAAAACAAGGCCTACAAAGAAGGTAGTATTTAAAAAAAAAAAAAAGTATTTTGGAGAAGAAACTGAGACCGAGAGGCCAGGTAATTTGTCCCAGGTCACAGAGCCACCAAGTGGCTAACCATGAGTAACATTCTGTTCTCAATCTGACTCCAGAGCCTGAGAGTATATAAATCCTCAGTTTTGCTGATGCTAAAAATATCTGATATTATTATTCTATGTAAAATTCTGGAAGAACCTCCAACACATTTGGAATAAACCTTAGTTTTACAGCATGACACATAAGGCCCTGCTAACTTCTCCAATCACGGTTCATCACTCCTGCACACAGGTCCTGTGACATAGTGTGCAAATGACCAGCAGTTCCTGAGGTCCTCTTCCCTGCTGTACCTCTGCATCCTCCTCTACCTTCTCCCCTGATGACTTCCTTGCATTTTTCAGGTTGGGTTCATGCATCACCTTCTCTGTCATAATAGATGAAAGGCCTCTGTGCACTCCTAAATTTTGGTAGAAACTTCTACTTGGTTTGTTGTTGAGCCCTTCTTGGTTCCGTATTTGTTTTCCAAGGAGAATAGAATTCCCTTCTCTGAACTTTTAGTGTCTTGTACAATGTCCATCATGTAAATAATAAATATTTGATGAATTAAATAATTAACACAGAAATAAAAAGAAACAGTGTGGGAGAGACAGAGATAAAAGCGGGGAGGAAATAGAGGGAGGGAGGAAGAAGCCACTGGGGAGAGATAAACATTTATGTGAATATTCATGATTGAGAGTGAAAGTTCTATAGCGTGAAAAGACCCAGAAGCACAGAGGAGAGAATACATTCTGTCTATTGCTTCTCAGTCCCTTTCTTTCCTCTCTTATTGTTCCCTGAATGTTAGATTCCTTTGCCAGCCTCCTAAACCAGTTTTCCTGCCTGTAGTCAATTTTCTTCTCATTCTTACAGCCACCACATTAATCTTAATCACTCTCCTACACAATAACCTTCAACAGATCCTCATTGCCTGGAAGATATGACTTGGAATTCAAGGCTAAGGAATTTGTACTTTATCCAAACTTTATCAGATGTACCCTTTCAACACCCCCTCCATTATGGCTTTATGTTAGCCAGACTGGTTTATTAGATCTCCCATATGCCTCATCTGCTCCCACATCTGATCCTGTATCCTTTGCCATTCTTTTACTCAGTATTCTTTCCACTGCTAACTTCTCATCCCAGTAAGTCTACTTACTCCTGCCTGCATTTCAAGGTCTGAATAAAAATCCCTCATCTCCTTAGACCGTCCTTAACCATTCCCGTCAAAAAATCACTTCTGTCTTCCTTGAATTGTCTAGCTCCCACAATCCCCACTCCTAATATACACAATATTAAATGAATTGAACCATACTCCTATACCTGGTATGCTGAATACTGCTACAGAAAATCCCACAGCTATTCAGTTTTACAGTAGGACAAATTAATCATCCCAACTCCTGCTAGGCCTCAGCATTAGGCCTTGGAGAGAGCGATCATAAAGGAAAATCAGACTCTGTCTCCCCAACTCACACAGTGACATATTCCCCCACACACAGAAAAGAGGATTATATCCTAGGCAGCCACAAAAAATAAAAACAAAACTCTCCACCACATAGTCTTTCTCCAAACTCTGGCTGCGAACCCATATAATCTGCAAACGTGCACTTCTTCATACCTGTTGACCTTTGCTCAAGCCCCTTCTTTTGCCTGATGTGATAACCCCAACTTCTCTCCCTTTTCCTACATTAACCAACTTCCAACTTATTTGCCAGATAAATATGGGTTCTTGTCTGTCTTTTAAGAATAGAAGAAAATGTCTCTGTCTTTATTAATTCTTTCCCAATCACTTCATTAGACAGAATTGACCACTCTCTCATTTGTGCCTTCCCAGCATAACCTATACCCATTCTTGTCATTTATTCCATGTCTGTCTTACCAATTGATTCTAATCTCTTTACACACTTAATGTGGTGTTCTTGTGTTCCTATATTGACACAATGCCTAACACTTAATGGGCACTCAATAAATATACGTTGAGTGAAATCTAATGAATATCATTCATCTAGAACACAGTTTATTATATCTTATGTAGTCTAATATCTGCTTATATGTAATTGTGTTGTTTCCCCAAGCATATTGCCCTGTCTTTGAAGACAAGTTTATGTCTTTTATTTCTTTGTATCACAAGGAAAATCTAGAATCTGACATATGCATAGGAACTCTCCCTACTTTCACTCTTGTTCAATTGCAATTGTGATGTTTAATACTGAGTGTCAACTTGATTGGATTGAAGGATGCAAAGTATTGATCATGGGTGTGTCTGTGAGGGTGTTGCCAAAGGAGACTAACCTTTGAATCAGTGGGCTGGGGAAGGTAGACCCACCCTTAATCTGTTGGGCATCACCTAATTGGCTGCCAGCAAATAAAAAGCAGGCAGAAAAATGTGAAAAAGCGAGACTGGCCTAGCCTCTCAGCCTACATCTTTCTCCTGTGCTGGATGCTTCCTGCCTCGAACATTGGACTCTGAGTTCTTCAGTTTTGAGACTCACACTGGCTCTCCTTGCTCCTCAAGTTTACAGGCAGTCAATTGTAGGCACTTGTGATCATGTAAGTTAATACTTAATAAACTCCCCTTTATATATATATATACACACACACACACACACACATATATGTGTGTGTGTGTGTATCCTATTAGTTCTGCCCCTAGAGAATCCTAATACAGCAACCTATTCTCCAAATGGCAGCCAAAATAATCTTTGTAAAATATCAATCAGATATGTGTTTTTCAATAGCTTCCCATTGCACTTATGAATTCCAAATTCCTTATCTTCGGGAACAAGGCTCTGCTGGGGCTGTCTCCAGCCTGTCCCTTCCCTCCATCTTATACCACTCTTCTGGCTCTCCATGGTCCAGCCACAGTGGCTACCTTTCTGTTCAAAAAGGCAACAGCCAAGCCCTTTTTTCTGACCATGGATTCTTTCACTATTCTTCTAATCAACAACATTCTTGTCCAGATTCTTCATTTGGATGGATCTTTCTGTTCTCAATCTAAATAACATATCATTAAAAAGGTTACCCCTAACCACTCTGTCTAAAGTAGCAAAATTGCCCAACTTAGCTCCTCTCTTAGCATGTCTCATGGGTTGAATTGTGTCCTCCAAAAGGATATGTTGAAATCCTAGCCCTCAGCACTTCAGAATGTGACCTTATTTGGAAATAGGATCTTTACAGAGGTAATTAAGTTAAAACGAATTCATCAGGGTGAGCCCTAATCCAGTATGACAGGTGTCCTCATAAAAAGGGAAAATTTGGACACAGACAGGCACAGAAACAACACCATGCAAAGATACACGAGAGAAACCAGCCATGTGAACAGAGTAATGCATCTGCAGGCCAGGGAACACCAGCAAACACTAGCAGCTAGAAGAGGCTAGCTATACACCATGGCACTGCTGACAACTTGATTTCAGACTTCTAGCCTCCAAAACTATGGAACAATAGAGTTCTGTTGTTTTAGGCCACCCAGTCTTTGGTACTTTATTACAGCAACCCAAAAGAACTACTATAGCATGTCACTATTTTTATGGGTTTTTGTTTGTTTGTTTGTTTTGTTTTTTTCAGCACTCATCACACTCTGTACTTACGTCTTCTATTTATTTGCCTTCTGAGTACAGTCTCCTCTACTAGAAAATGTTCCAGTGAGATGGAGGCCTCTTCTACCGTCTTCACTGCTATGTCCCTAGAGCTTAACCTGTAATAGACAATCAATAATCATTACATAATGGTAAAAATACCAAAAAAACATATTTTTATTGATAAAATAATATCACTACAAATGCAGTAGATACAAAGACACTGCTATTTCAGTGGAAAATTCCTATTTCTAGAAGGAAAGTTGGGGCCACTTATACTAATTGTAAGAGTCTTGTTGTTGTTGTCGTTTTCTATAATAGAACAAAGTGAAATGTCTCTAAAGATTATTTTATACCAAAGACTGAATGACAATGTCTGGTTATTGCTGCTGAGAGGCTGATGATGGGATGTGTATTATTCTGAGGTTTAAGGAAACTTTTTCAGGCTTCAGCTCTCTTCCCTGATGCCATTAAATAAGCAGATCCCAAACAATTTCATCTTATCACTTGTACTAGAGTCTTGGCATCAGCTTAATCTTTTCTTCTCTTCCAGATAAAATTTAGATACTTCCTTTGGCTATAATACAGCTTGGTACCTTGAGATCCTCCGTCTCTTTCATCTTAACCTTCACCAATTCCTCTTTTAGTCATCTCTTATAGGACCAAACACTAGCCTAACACTAGGGGAAATGACAAGAATCTGTTAAAACGAATGAAAGGAAATGAAATACGGAGCTCTTAAGTTATAATCAGAGGAAAACAATGATGATGATCATCATGATGATGAAAAGATGGCCTTTAATATGTGAAGCAGATGGCAACAACTTAATTCTAAATTTATTCTAGTTTTCTTGGCCAAAGAGTATAATCCTCAGACTGGAAAAAGAAGACCAGATATATGTGAGTAAATCTTGGAATTTAAAGAAAAGCAATGATTATTAGAAGCCAATATGGGCTTACAAAGAAAACAAAGATGCCAAATTAACCTCAATTCCCTTTTTCATATAGAACTACTATTGTAAATAAAAAATTGTTTAATTACTTCAGAACTTAGAAGACATCAAAGCCAAATGCTGTATTTTACAACTGGTTCTATCTAACCAGCTGAAACTGTTGAAGAACATGAATTTTGAGGTGTGTTGGCATGCTACGTCCTTAATGTTCATAACCGTAGCAGTTTTCCTGACCAATCATGATGGACTACATTAAACATCCAGCCAACACGGGATGCTGGACCCATTCTCTCCTATACAGAAGGTGTGTTTTCAATACTTAAAGAGCATAATCATGAAACCCTATTTCTATATTTGAAAACCCATGAATTTTACCCTCAACGAACCACAGCTACTCAGTAAATGTCTTTACTGATCTGAGTTCCCTTACTTGTAAGTATATCAATTCAGCTTTAAAAAAAAAAAAAAACTTTTTAAAGTTTTTTGTTTCATTTTTGGCACTGTCAAAGACACAAAACAGGCATAGTATATCTAGATTTCAGTAAGATACTGAAAAAAATGTTCTAGCAATACCCGCAAATGGGATTAGAGAACTTGCTTTCCAAAAAGACTGAATATTCTTGTATATACAATCTCCCAGAAGCAGCTGATAAGCCTTTCCTAAAATATAGTTATCCATGGTTTACCTAGGTGATTTGTTCTTGCCTATTAAGCAGATAATTCATCAATCAAGATTCATATCTATCTAGCAGCAACATTATTTTAGCAATGCCACAGAGCCTCTCTAATCTGTTAGACACTATCAAAGTTTCCCAAAATAACAGAAAATAGAAGCACCTGAAGTCTCTGGGGATTTTTTTCTCTAGCACTTCTCTTTTGATATTTCACCACATTTGGATACAAAATTTGTGGTTGGGCTGACGGCTGACTGAACATGAGGATATGCAGTATGACAGCATAGTTCTTACTGTTCATCTTCAAGTTTCTTGGCTAATTCCAAACTCTATGTGCAAAGTAACATGAGCAGAGTCATGCCTCTCTTGCAGTTAACTCCTATTAAAAGATTAATATTATTCAATATTACTGTGAAAAATATTTTTAAAACGTGCATTTGGCCAGGCATGGTGGCTTGCACCTGTAATCCCAAAACTGGGGAGGCTGACGTAGGAGGATCACTTGAGGCCAAGGGTTCTAACCGGTTTAAAAACTAAAAATCAATCTCACTTGGTTTTCCCAAATGGTCTTATCCAGGTATAAAAGTGGATTAATTCCGCTTAGTTTCATAGATCAAACAAAAAAGGATAAATGTCATTCTGCACTAGAGCAGGGGAAAACAAAAAGGATTCAGGGTGGTGAGACCTGCAGATGGTCAGGGGAAATTCCTTGGGGATTTGAGCTTCCTCCTGTCTCTCTCACCTTTGACACAAAGCATCATGAACCACCCAGGGATCCTGTAAAACTTAGATTCTAATTCAGTAGATCTTGAGTGAAGTCTGAGAGTCTGCCTTTTTAACAAGCTCCCAGACGATGTCCATACTGCTGATATTAGGACCACAGTTTGTGTGGCAGGAATTTAGTGACTCAATTTATAGCTTGGTTCTCTGAGTAAGAGATATCAGCAAATCCTCACTGACTATCACCCACCTTTGAAAGCATGGTCATCTAATCCCTTGGAGTTTTCACTCTGAAAAAAGATTTTAAAGACCAACTTATCTAATTATCTCATTTTAGAAGGAAGAAAACAGCCCATTATTTAAACAAAACAAAACCAAACAAATGCTAAGGTGACTTGTTTTAGGTCACAGCTATTAGTGATGATAAAATAAGAAATAACCAACCCTGTACAAGAGAATCTTCTCTTTACTACACAGCTGCTTCTTCTCAAAAAGTTCAGTCAAAAGCAGATTCTGGACAATTCTTGGCTAGCATAGGTGGCAGGGTTGGGGGGCTGCATGGGTAAAGAACTCAGGGAGTGGAAGAAGAAAGGTATGTGGCCAAAGAACTTTTTTACGTATAATGTGACCCAAACAAGATCCCAGGACTAGGACCCCAGGCTCCTGATTCTCAGTCTAGGTTTATCTTGTGCTAACAACAATTTATTTTGTATCCTTTGAATTATGATGTTCACAAATCATATAACCTGAACCATGGGCTTTCCTTTCTCAGAATGCTGCATTTAGGATGCAGTTTTTGCAAAATCTCAATAGTATTAACAAAATCCTAACGCAAGAAGAAGAAAAAAGTCATATATCCAATCAGTATTTTCCAGTTAAAAGAGATATGTAATAGGTTAATTTCTATCACCCATGTTGTAAAAATTTTAGTCATTAGCAACAACAACAACAACAAATGTACCATTTCTTACTTATATATACATGGTTTTTTATAGAAACAAAGAAAAAAATTCTTATGCCAAAGTTTTCCAGATTAAGATTTTCCCTATGTCCATGCCAAGTAATTGGATAGAGCTTCAAGAATTTCTTGTCCAGCTAGGCCTTTTCTTTGTCTCTTGATACATAAGAAGTATACTTGGCATTTTTATTTTGATATTGGACATTTTTAAGTACCTGGTATTTTAATAACTAAGTTGATAATAATGATGTTTTAGCAATGTTTTTACTGAAAATCTGTTAAACTTATAATGTATACTGTCATGTATGGCACACATGTAATTGGTGTCCTGGGCCTTGGAAGATAGAGTAGCTCATTTTGGAAAAGTAACTGAGTCTTAGGAGCTTATTATTTCTTGGTGAATCATCAAAGTCAATATAGTCAGTATATAATAAGAGCCTATTACAAGGCAGTTTGCTTTTCCTCAAAGTTAAATCACAAGTCATGCCTTGTCCCCTTTGTACATAATGATATGTATGCATTTGGTTCGCTTTAGCACAGAAAATCTGTAATATGTGCTCTACTCGTCTTCACAAAGGAAAGTATTCATTACAGATGGTTGACTGTACACATTTTTACACCTTCATGGTTAACAGAAATTTCAGAATATCAACTTTAAAAGAAAATACATGAATTGAGTTACAAATCCACTCAACAAACCTAGCCCTACATTAATAGAATGTGAAAAACCTCATCATTCTCCACTTTTGCCTCTAGCAAATGTGCCATCTTCAGCCACTGGAGGTCATCTGCTGAAACTTCATTGCCCAGTTCATAACAGATGCAATCAGAATTTGTTTGATAACAAAAACACTATCAGCTAGTCTGTCAGTGCTCTAAAAAAAGATTAAATCACATGCTATTAATAGACCAATTAAAGGAAGCACACTCTGGTGTGCCTATTAAAAATTATTTATTTCAGCAGTCCTTGAGGCTTACCTCCTTTGCTTCACTGATTCAACAAATATTTATTGAGCTCCTACTATGTGTCAGGCACTAGGTTAGTGCATGGGGATATAAAATTAAATAAAACAAGCATAGTGTCTCCTATACAAGGAGAGTCTCTCTCGTTGCAAACAAAAATGTGACCAGATAAATATTGTCAGTGCAAAAGGAGGTACAAATCTAAAGAAGGCATACATTTGTTTGGAAATAGTGTCTCCCTCTCTGACTACCATAGTAGTTTTCTTCTTTTATAATTTATTCAACACATAATTGTCGAACATCCCCTGCTAGGTATCAGGCAGGGTATTTGCTGTTGAGGATGTTGTCATGAAAAGAGGTACAACCTGTAATCTAAATAGAATTTGTAAAACTAGTAGAGCATTAGATAGCATTAGACAAATAGTTGTAGAAATAATTAATAACCATCCTGCTAAGAGCTGTGAAGCAGAAGTATCAGGTACTATAGGAGGGCTATTACTCTCTATTATACACAAGAGTCTTTAGATCTATACTGGTTTCATCTTTGTATCACCCACAGAGCTTGGAAAAGAACATTGAAAAATTGATGCTTAAATAAATATATGTTGAGTGATTGAGTACTGAATTTGAGGATGGGGTAAAAAAAGTCACTCTTTATAAATAAAAATATTAATCAAAACGACTAGACATGGTATTCATTCTTGCTGTTCAAAGGTATTTCCAGTTCTCATCTTCTAAAATATGGTAGAATTGTACTTTCCTATCCCTTTGAAGATAAGCAAAGACATATGATTTGCTTTGACTGATGAAATGTTAGAACTGATTACTTCACTTCCAGGTTAAACACAGAC